AGAAATTCAAAGATATGTGTGAAGTTATCCCGCACTGGGCTAGAGTGGTTGACTGTGGCCTAATCATCCTTAACTTAGGGTAAGCTCCGAGTCCGAGCTGATGATGATATACATTTTAGCACCGTCTCAGTATTTTTATTTTATTAAAGATCAAACTAAAATGTTATTTTTTATTATTATTATAATATATATATTTTTAATTAATTTATTAAAAACAAAATTGTATATTTCATGATGTATGTTGACTCTTTCACTTATTTTATTTTCTTAGTTATACAAATAGTTAATAAAACTTTATTTTAAGACCTTAATATAATAATTCGTTTTATTGAACGATAAATTTGTATTCATATGGAGCAAATATTCTTTATTACTGTCATCTGTCGAAGGAATTTTAATAAGGTACATCTTTCAGCTCAATAAAAGCTCTGAGCAATTTCACTCTCGGATTCGACGACTGGAGAAATGTGATTTATTTCTAAAGTTTGCTTTTTTTTAAATCACGTTATTCTTTTACATCGAGTATTGACATTTGCATTGTTTCTCTTTTACACAAAGTCGTATATTTTAAAAGCACGTAAGAGTCGACATTCGAAGAAAAGAGTAACATTTCTTGTATCTTTTGAATTGTAACCCTTTTCGTTGGTTGGTTCGAAGTATGTACATTGTCACACTGTGATGAATACAGATTCTCTTGCTGCATATTTGTTTTATTACAATTATTTGATTTCTTATCTTTTCTGTTACACTCTTACTCTTATCTTAATTACTAAATAAATCAGCTTAAAGGCAGTTATTACCTTTTGCCCGCGACTCCACCCGCGCTGAAATAAAAAAAATAATAATTAGTAGCCTATTTGTGTACCAGGATCTGTCCTACATCTATGCCAAATTTCAGCGCGATCCGTCGAGCCGTTCTGGTAATACCTTCTAATAAACATCCACCCATACATACAAACATACACATTTATAATATTAGTAAAATTAGCATCACGTTTTGTTTAAAAATCTTTCCCCATGGGATTTCAATTATCAACAACACGTACAGTGAAAAATTCTCTTCAAATATGATTTCTATTCTATAAATTTTTTGCAAGGTTGTTTTCTTGCAATTCATTTGTGTTTATCTAAATGTCAAAATGAAGTCACTTCAGTGGAAGCTTCGAGAACTCGAGCTGAATGAATCTGCATTCATGGCTCAAACAATAATATCGATGATTTTCAACAGTAACGATCCACTTGTCTAGTGGGCGTATTGTCTCTATGGTAAAGATTAGTATGGACTTTATTCCTAATGTATTTAAAATTGTTAAAATTATGGTTTTTAAGTCATTTTTTTCAATTTCTTGTTACTTTTTGGACAAACAACGAGTTTTAAAGTACTTTTTTGCTCAGGTTTTAAAAGTATTTTTTGACAGATCAAACCAAAGCAGCGTATTTGCTGACTCGGTGAAATAATCTTCTCACATTGGAATTATGAGATAAATTAATGTTAATATTTTAAAATGTAACCTGTTAATAAATTATAGATTTACCGAATCAAAACTCTTTACAGTTGAAAAAAAATAAAGTTTAGTTTTTTATTATAATTAATTATTAGGGCTTATCCATGTTATTTTAACGTGTCTATTCAGCACCCGACAAGCATTAAGATGCGATGCGTATCTTAGCGAAGCGATTTAAAATCGTTCCATCTTCACAGCACTCGTTCAAATGAGTTCACAGTTCTATGTAGTTATTTACTCCTAGCTAGTAATTTACAAATGTTTAAGTCAGATTGGTCTCTTTAAGCCCTAAACCTAATGGATCCCATAGATTTATTAATGTTTTGAAAGCCTTTTAAACTATCAAACTTTACTTCGTATTTCTTTTTTTTATATCATAAGGTGGCAAACGAGCGAGCGGCCACCTGAAATAGCTGAAAGAGCGAAGTGACCGTTTCCTTATAGACATACGCATTTGCATATGCGTTGCCTACCTTTAATCGACGGAGGAGAGGATGCACAGAAAGAAAATATTTTCTCTTTCCATGCATCCTCTCATCCGAAAAGTCCACTTCCACTTCCCAACCTTTCCTCATAAGAAAAAGGGTGGGAAGGGAAAGAGGACTAAATTAGGTCTCCGGGACGCACACTCATCAGACGAAACGCGGAATTGCTTCCACTTCCCGCCTGTCTTCTGTGGTCGTGGTATTTCACCGGGCGAGCCGGGCCAATTCGTGCGAAGATGTTAAAGCGGGCTCTACCACTAAAATAGAAGCAAAACATATCTCGAATTATTGACGTTAAGGCAACTGCTCTACAAACATTGTATTGATTGTATTCAAACTTCAAGGGAACGATAAAAATGAGTTCAAGTCTAAAAATTCCTCAGCCCAAAGCTCGGGGATGCGTATAACCGCGAATATAAAACTGAATTTGTAGGAAAAAATGTAAAAACCACCCTCCGCCTCCCAAAAAGGTCTACACAGCAATATGTTCCATCGAAAGTCACTTAGTAAAATGCGTGAGGGAAATTTGACGAATCACTATTCTGACGTTGTATTTAAGTATTATAATTTTATTGTTTATTCAGCTAAGCTATGTTTTTACCAAGATATAATATGACGAGTATCTTACGGAGTATATTCTTTCCATTGTGTCTTGAACGAAGTCACTGGTTTTGAAACTGTTCTATTCCGGTGGGCGGAATGTCCAAACAGCTCCATCTAGTTTGTCCAAGTGCCAACAGAGTATGTCGTATGTTGGCCTTCTATGTAATAATTTTAAAGATGAAAACAACCACGTGCGGACACTAGTCCAAATCCGGCTCGAAGGACGATGTAAAGAAGTCTCAATAAGGTCTCATTCTCTATGGAGTTGAATGGAGTAATCACAATAAAACACTGGTTTTATGGTGGTGCGAGTCAATTTTAATTATTATTTTTCGTGACTGAGTAGTCACTGTTTGCCTTGAAGAGGCATTTACAGCTTCACCGGGCTTGAGGTGGCCGAGCGCAGATGGCGTTTAGACTGAAGCTCGTGCAGACAATTTTAATAAAATCCTTTCGTGACGTCACATTTAACACGATAATCGACATCGCGATCTAGCAATACGGTACGCCATCTATTGACATAATATAACAACTAACATTATATCATAACATTGGACATCCCTATAGTGACGTAATGCAGAGTCAGTTAGTTTTTTTATTAACTGCTTTAATATTTTATTTTCACTAAATAAATATACGTGATTATAGTTTTTCTATCGGACAAAATATCGAAAGAACTTTTCTATTACGCAATCTGTCAGTCAGTAGCTAAGGTTGAGCGTGGGCGAATATATTTTTATTAAACAAAATCCACCCCAACAGTATACGTTTTTCCTTAAGGCTCCCTTAGGAAAATGTTTGAATTTCGGAAAAAAAATCCCTACATTTTAGTGAATTCCTTATACCATATGAAATTACTTCGAATACAACTATACATGTGACATGGTTTTTTTTGGTTAAGCATATTCAGAATACTCGATTTGTATTCAATGCAGGTTTTTTTGTAGTAATTCAAATCGAAAAACAAATTCATGAAATGGTTAGGTTAGTAAGGATTGATATTTGATTCTCCAAAGTTTCCTGATCGATTCTACATGTCTACAATTGAACTAAATCACTACAAACTCTATATTAATGGAAATAACGTACATATGAATAACATTTAAGGGGTTCAACACAAGGCATCATAAATGATCGAAGCTAATCCTTTGCGTCGCAAGTATCGTGTTGAGCGCGCTTCGCACACACTACGTTGAATCGTCTACAAATGTCGACTAGCCGGTCTCTGTAAGTGTAGCGATTACATTTCAACTGTAAAGATTTACATCGTCATCTTGACAATCGCAGCGACTTTTCTCACGATGATCTTGACAAACATGTTGCGCGCGACTGGATTTGGCGATGACAGAAATGTCTGTGTACACAAACAAACTTTTAAAACCTTCTATGGCTTAAACCATTTAGCGACTAAAATTGTCACGGGTTACGGAGATTCACGTTGCCTTATGTACGAAAGGCCTAAGGGCCTAAGATGTAATTGATTGCGTGGAAGAATTATATGATTACGAAGGATGAAAGAGGATGAACACCTGTTGTGACGAATGCACATAGAGTGGGTTGAGAACAAAGAAATTATGTGATTAAGTTTAGTATACAACACAAGACATGCTAATAATCTCTATGAAATAAAATGGTCTATAAATATATTCTAAGTACTGTCTTAATTACGCGGCGGTATTAAAGATTTTACTTTATATTAGGGTGCGCACACACCGCGGTAAACGCGTCGTAAAGTCCTACGTTTACGAGTATTTGAAAAGATTTACTACCTCACAGGAAGCTTTATTAGGCTTTTGTTTTAGAATATGCTGTTGTTTATAATAATACCTTAACTTATAATACACAGTCATATAATTGCCTAACATATACGCTTATATTTTCAACCGCATTCAAATTTATTACATAAACTAGCTGTCGCTCGCGACTACGTCCGCGCGGAATTAAAAGACTTTAGTCTATATGTTCTTCCAGACAATGTACATCTATGCCAAATTTCGATAAGATTAGTTTTGACCTTAAAGAGATCCTTCAAATAAACATCCATCCATCTAAACATTACTAAAGATATGATTACTTACATGAAAGTAATTAAATTTAAAAGTAAAATTGATTATAAAATTGCTTTTATAGCCGTTTAATATGAAGACACAAGTTACTCATTATTTCTTATTTGCTTAAACGTCTGCTTAGTAAGGTGAACTTATTCCGTAACGTTTTTATCAGCGTAAATGGTGGATTTAATCTACTTGTATTCGTTGAAACAAATGGCATTGTTTTCGATTTGTACATTTTTTGTACGTATCTCGCGATATAAGCCACCTGTGGCCGAATAAATCATTATTAATTCACAAAATCTCTACAAATCGGTGGAATGTGCACTGAATTGGAAATAAAAATATGTATTTTAGGTTACTAGTTATTGTTGCTATTTGTGTTCAAATTGGTTCAGGAGGTAAGTTAATTTTTTCGTTAATTATTTTTTTAATCTGAAAATTGTTTGCATCAAAATTGATAAATAACCCTAACTTATGTACTTATATCACTTATAAACTATTCTTATATTAGTCAAAATTTAAAGACCTGATTTGATTTTTGTTACTTATCATAATTTTGAACCCTTTTTGATTTCAATGGGCATCTAAAAATGGCATCGATAAAACTACGACTTGTCTTCTTATGTTTTTTAAGAAAATTCGGGATAAGTGATTAAAAAAATCAGTAAATCTGTAAGTAAATATAATTATATTTCAGAAAAGCAGAAACATGAATTTAAACATAAATTGGGTCACCTCAAGGAGATACCAAAAAGATTCGAAGTACAAGACATAAACGCCGAAGAAATATTTACAAGGTATTTACGGGACATTAGAGACTTGGCTAGGTTGGCAAACATGACTGTGAGATACAAAGTTAAAGTAGAATTACAAAAACCAACAAATAAGAAGATTAAGAAAATAGAAAAAGGTTATAAGGTGAAAACAAAGAAGTATATAGTACCATTGAAACGAAAGAACATGAAACTATCGAATTTCGAAATAATAATGAGGAAGCAAGTAGACCAGATGGCATCAGAGGCGAGTGTTGCGATGCAACAAGTTCCAAAATCAACGGAAGAACCACCACATTTTATAACAACGAAGGCGATGTTTAATGGAAAATATAAACCAATTCTACGACATGTGAAGTCAAATTATACGAAAATAGTGAAACCTGTACGAAACAAAATAATAACACTAAACTATGAACCAGTGGTACAGTGAAATTGTCATTTTTATACTTTTTTACTTTTATAACTTTTGCATTTATAAGTAATAAAATAGTAAATTTATCTGCTGCTTAAATATTATTAAACCCATATTTATAAACTTACTAGCTGTCGTATGCAACTTTGTCCGCGCGAAATGAAAAAGAAATAACGTAATTAGTCGCCTATATGTTCTTTTAGGCTATGCTCTACATATGCCAAGACTAAAGATCTTGGTATACATATAAGTCCAAGAGAAATTTGCTTTTATTCCACGAAAGCCTTACTCAAATGATATTATGATAATCGATTATATTTCATTTTTTACATAGAAAGTTCAATAGTATTGAGTTCCTTTTTCTGTAATCTGATCGGCTTACGAGGGGTGAATGTTGTGCCTGGGCACAACTTAGCAGAAGATGCATCGCGATAGCCGTCGGCACTTACCTTGTTCACGCTGCATGAAATAGTGATGTAAATTGCTCATCGATACGCCAACGTTAAGAATAATATTGTCTCCATATAGTCCTTGAATTTCATTAAACTGTTCTATCACACATACTACGTATTCAATATTTATATTAGGTATTTTATTAAGCTCTTAAACATTAAATGAATTTATGGTTTTTAATTTTTACTTTTAACGTCAAAGACGCTTGACTGCGGCAATCAAGCTGCATCGGTTTCCAACATGAGCAATTTAATACAATTCCACATAATAAAATTGACTCCAGCAATAAGTGATATATAAACACAGCTAAACACTCACGTATATTCGTCCGGTGGCGGCACCGACTAGGGGGGCCCTTTATCAGGATGAGTGGTAATGGTATTATTTCGCGGACGCGGCCCGTCGCTCACTGTGCGCCTGCGCTCTTAGGGCGCGTCTTGAGGGAGCGGGGGGCGCGGGTTGCGCCGGCGTCGTCGACGATGTTAATACCGAAGCGTGGGTGGTGTTGTTGTTCAAGTTTCTGATGAAAGGCCCTCGATGGGCTGGAATCCAGTCGGTGCCGCCACCGGACGAATATACGTGAGTGTTTAGCCGTGTTTATATATATATATCAGTTTAGTATAATGTCTCATGAAAGTTTGAATAATTTTCCAGCTATAAGTAGCATCAGTAGTACCATGGCATAGGTTCGGCTGGCACGGCAAGACTGGAACACATAAATCAATTTTTTATTCTATCGATAAATATTATTGGAAAATTTATTAATAAAAACGGGACATCACTAGTCCAAGAGGCGCTACCCATGAAAGTGTTGATGTTATCTGTGTCGCTTTACGTTAGAGTACGCGATGAAACTGACTTGCTTTACTGATGTAAAAGACTTGCAAACTTATATCTTTACAACATTAACAGCAATTTTATTCCACAAAGACTTTCCCAGACGGTTATCTTCTTTTACTTTTTACGATGGAAATTGTTACCTTCTTTTATTCGCTCAACATACAAATCAACAACTTTCAATAGTGTTGACTATTACATCGTACTTAACGATTCCCAAGTTATGAATAAACTAAAATAGCTTAATCAGGAATAACTTCTTAGAAACTACGGTTACTTAGTTTATTCTAGAGTAACATCCAGTTTAATTAATCCAAGTCGGAACTTATCGACATAATTTCTGACTCGGATTAATTATATACATATTTTACTTTGACGGTATACAAAAGCAAAAGGAATTTGTTACAAGCTATTGACAATAGGATTGACTAAACGCTCATTCACACGGGCGTTTTTTTAACGCCGCGTTAAAATTCCGCGTTGGCAGGTTTTACGCTACGAACCACTCTTGTTTCCTATGTCCAAAGCTCAAAATGCAAAACTATGCGATAAAAAGCTACGCGTTTTAAAAACGCTGCTGTATGAACAGAAATGGAAATCAGTTCTATTTGAACGATTTTTTAACCTCCCGTTAAAAAAGCGCCTGTGCGTTAGGAGTTAAGAATATAAATAACATAAATAGGACATCAAGATGTTTGAGATTGATAACTATGTTTTTGGATAATAAAAAATCCTAAATAAAAATCCATCTCATGGGCGTATATCAATTTTCATAACAAATAAGATGAATATAAGCTCAAAATCTGTCCTAACATATATCTATATATGTAATAATATAAACGTGTTACTCAAATCTAAATGCTCTGATGTTCTAAAATTGAAACGAAGCTTCACAAATTCAGAGCTAAAGTGAAAAAGTTAAATATTAAAATAAAGTATCTACTTTCAGCGCGTCTTCTTTGATGTTCAATCAGAATTGATCCAAATTTATGAATACAAGGTGAAGGAAAATGCTAATTCAGAATCAAAGCAACTTTGTGACTCGATTCGTGAACTTTTTGCCATTTGGGAATATATTAAAACAGTGGAATTTTAGGCGAGAATATTTTCAGCGATAATCAAACTTGTAGCAATATTGAATTTGTTGAAATAAAATCAAATAAAATAGAAGAAGAAATACTTCTAATACATCAACCAATTCATGACAAAGCTAGCTTTGCAGGACGTAGCCACAGTACGTAAGCGCTTGTAGATTAAAAACCAGAAATGTAGTAAAGAAGCAAAATTACCATTGAACGTCTTTCATATCTTATGAAAATTATAATATAATAGCGAATATATAATGGATGGATGTTTGAAGATATCTCCGGAACGACCCAATGAACATCGATAAATTTAGCACATATATAGAACGTAGTCTGGAAGAACACATGGGCTACTCATTAAGCTTTTTTCAAAGTTCCGCGCGGAGGGAATCGCGTGCGACGGCTAGTTGTACATATAAAAGAAACAAAACTCTGATGCCAATTGTAGTGCAGTATGCCTCAACATTTGGCGCTTAATGTACCGTTTCATTCGCACGCTGCTGTGAAATGTGAGTTCCTGTGTGGAAGGAATACAAACTGGCTCTTTGAAATAAGACAATAAAAACTGTTTCTTCGTGGCTTGTTTTATAAAGCAATATAATACAAAGAATTCTACAACATTGCTCTTAATCTCCGAAAGAAATTAACAGCTATTGTATTCAAGAAAAGTAATTAAATTCTTTATTTAAACCTAATTATTTGTTTTGACCGTCATGATCGTGAGTCATAGCCACTGCTGGATGTAACTCTGCCCTAATTCCATCTTTTACTCATGCGCCTTCTTGATTAAGATTATTAGTTTATCTGGAAGAACGCCTGGGTTCTTGTCACTGGATGATGACTTAATCAATGGATGATTGTTACAAGATTTTCCCGTCAAAAAATATTATCCAACTGTTCCACTGTTCTTTTACTTGTAATATCTTTTTTCCTATAGACGAACAAGTAAGCCTTTAATTTCGTGGGACTTTTCTAACTTCTTACGCCCGACGAATGCAAGCTTGTAAATTAAATCTAAAAGTTTCCATGTTGTGGAATCAGGCGACCCTTGTGTTCGTGGATATGGGTATCGCTATAAAACGTTTTAGGGTTCAGCGGTGGGTAAATTTATTAATCGAGTATCGACTAAAAGCTTTTATGATCCAATGAATTTTTGATTGTTTACTAGGAATATTTAAAATACAAACTTTTATATGTAAAATTGTATTTAATAGATTCAGTTCCGAATAACTGATTGATATCGAGAAATGGATTTGTTTGTTTGTACGTAAATGAATGAATTCAATATATACACAAAAATGACTATATCATTTACTACTATTCTTGCATAATGTCTTTTCAAGCATATCGTGGAGGTTGGTTTTCTTCAAATAATTTAGTTTTAGCCTGGTCTAAAATGTTCTCTCATTTGCAACCATATACTTTTATTCTACATATTATAATGATATGTTTTCAGACATATATTTTTCCGTAGTAACCGTATATCCTTTTTATTTTACACTGAACCCTGTAAAATAACCAGAATCGCGCTTAAATTCATCTCCAATTTACACAATCAAAGCATATTCACCACCACGTCCGCAGTCAAAAGTTACAAATTCACTTGACTGGGAACTCCAGTGTGGAAACTTTGTTTGCAAGTTCAGGCTCCATTTGACATTATTTAAACTGTGAATAAAATTTGGAGGTGGTTTAAGTATACATATAGAAACAAAAAGACATTAGTTGTTTAAAGATACGAGATATTTTTTTGTGACTGATTAGTCACTGTTTGCCTTGAAGAGGCATTTATAGCTTCAAGAGATAAGGAAAATTTTATCTATAAGGTTATTACCGTAATGTTTACTAACACCAAACCATATCGTGATCTATATCTTTACCACCGCCATCTAGGAGCCGTATATGTAAACAAACATTTTTCGTTAAGATTTTATATCTTATCAACTGTGCTTATTAAAATTAATTATTATTTCACTCTTTACATAACGGAATGAGGCAAGATACATAAAAGAGCACAAGCGTAATTTTAGTCAACTTCACCTTCCCATTTCTTATAAAGGAAAGGATGGGAATGGGACTGGGATTTATCGAAGGAGGGGAGACAGTCCGTCGAGAGGTAAGCAATACATCCGCAATTGGGTATGGGCATCAGTCGCTTCTTTATTTCAGAGAATGGTTGTCGCTTGCTAGTTTGTCTATAGTATATAAACAGAGATTTTGTTTTAATCATATCTTTTAAAAAAAGTATCCAATAAAGCAAATAAATTGAATACAATTATGTCGCGTTATGCGCACAAATGTATTCAACACATCTCTGAATCAGAGCCAAGCCCGAGACATCGTTTAAGTAAAACGTAACAGTTTCAGTCCGTTTATATAACAAACTGCCGCGGGCTTAAATCCGTTTTCAACGCGATGCTCTTGTTCTACAACGATGTTGTTAGACGCTTTGCTTTACATTTTTATGCAAAACTTTTGCAGTATATTTATTGCGCATTTTTAAACACACGTTTGATTCAACGTACGCTTTTAAGGTACAATTAGCTAGTACTATTACAAGGACAATGCTTAAACAAATATATCCCTATACCAACTTACAGTCTACATTTTAGAACATTAGGGAATAAATATTGCCTCAATATC